ATTTTGTACCCAATCCAGGAGGCAAAGAAACTTCTGTATCAAGAATTGACGAAAAATTTTCCCTCATGGAGGACTTTTTGATGGAATTTAACCGCATTTGCGTTACATGGAGAAGTAATCTATGGCTTCCATTTCATCAAGGTGATTCTAATGCAAGGTCCGTCTACTGAGGATATTTTACGTCGAGCACTGTGGTCGGGGTAGATTTTTTATCGACCAGCTGTGGGATTTGAACCAGGTTCCATAAGAAGGTTCCAGGTTCCTTAAGCTACCTCGACTCTGCTAAATATATAAGAATTTTTTTTTTCTTTCAAGTAAAACTTGAAAACTATGGTGACATATTTTAATTTAGTCCTCTCTACAATTGAACTCACGCGACACTTAGGCGTTTAATACATTAATCATCCTCTTCAATTATTATCCAGATTTCGATAGAATGATGCTTCATTCTTCACTTAATTAAATCGCGTATCCGAATTCGGAGAGGTTTTTTCAGACAGTATATTTCAAGAATTAGATCCTCGTTTATAGTTCCGAATAAACAAACTGAAATGTTTCAGTGTGAACAGTCCCTTAGGGAGAAGATTTTGTATGTGTGACCACGTCTTGCAGTGGACTGGTCGTTAAGATACGGTTCACAGCAGATCACCGAAGTCAAGCATGTGGGTGGGTGACCACTTGGATCACTCTGCGTAAGGACCCAGTTAATATGTACAACCACAAAGTGCTCATCTTCGCATACGGGTCGTCGGGTTACCGAAGCGGTGACATTCCCGCTGCAGAGGATTAATTAAAATTGTGGCATGTCTTCGGATCATTCTCAGGGATGCTTCCCAGACCTTCGCCAATAGCCCATCGTGCAGCTCCTGTGCGAAGTTAAAAAAATACCCACCTACTGACTCTCGCACCTCTGCTCTGCCCGACATGCATCAATCAATCGAATCGTATGTCTTGCGAGCCAATCCAAGAGAAGAAGACGAGACTGTTGGGTAAGTTTTCCGCAGGAAAATTCTTTATCAAATTCACACTCTCTCTCTACACCATGAACCATGTCCAAACGAAATGCTTTGTCCTGGTGAATAGATTAATCCACGCAAATCTTTCTTACTTGCTTGACGTAATTTCGAGCATTAAAAATGGAACATAAATAAATTTAACCAATCAGGATCTCATTCGCCTCTTCTAGTTTTCATCTGCGAATTCCTCGCATAAAGCAAAAATAGTCGTTAGAGAAATTTGCGAATGGTGTGAAATGTTTTTGATTTATTTGAACTAAAATAGGTAGTAGAAAGCGTCATTGTGAAAGACGGAACAATTGATAGTAAATAAACATCCACATCATTTTTGTTGGATAGTTGTTGTTTGTTTGTCTGAGAAGAAACCAAAGAATAACTTCGCGACATATGATACGTCAGAAATAAAGGTTAAACTTGTGCTTTTTTTTTCTCTATTTTTAAGTGAAATATTTAAAAAGTAGGTATTATTTATTTATGAGTCTGGTGAATTGCTGTTCAGCTTGAAATTTCGGCTTATATTTTGTAAGATAGCTTTTTAAATATATGTTTTTTTGTTCAGCTAGTTAAGTGATATAGCCTGTCATAGTAGCATTCTAAATTGTTTAGTTTTCTTTCAATTAAAAATTTTATTTCATGGTTTGTTTTTGCATATTTCAGCTTTATTTTTGTCGCAAAATAAATTTACGGAAAGCTAAGAATCTTCCATACTAGAGCAGTTAAAATTCACATCTATGAATATTGTAATTCCAGTTTTTCTACTGCTTTATAATTTTTTTTTTTAAATAAAATTTCACTCCTAGTTTTATAAAAATTTTCCTTATTAAGAAAATTTAAGATCAAGTAAACTCCAAAAAAATAAGAGTCCAGCTCAAATTGCTTTTTAAACTGAGGAGAGTATAGTTTATAGTAAAGTAGGCACTATTGGCAAACTTAACCTTTAAGCAATTAACCTTTAATTTATAGTACAATGTGTAATGTTCTATCCCTGTAAAATTGTTTATTATGTTATTAAAATGGGTGGCAACAAGCAAATACAAATTTAAAGAAAAGAATTTAATCAGGAAGAACATTGAAACTCTTAATTATATTTATAAAATCTTAAACTAGGCATGCTAGATGATAATAGAAATAAAAACCAACCAGGCTCACTTATTGGTAGATGTTAGCTCCCGTCTTTTTTGTTGTAAATTTTCATTATTCTGCTTCGTCTATCTGTCCCTCTTTTTATTCATTAGAAATATTAGTAAAATTGTGTTCATTAATTTGAAAATAGTGGAAAATTTTATCACAGTTATTTATAAGTGTTTGGTAATTATTAAAAATTTAAAAGCATTCAACTTTATTACGAACTATTTTTTGTTTATTTCAGTCTTGCTGCTTTTGGGTACTACAACAATTGTATCATATTGCTACACTTATTTTGTTTTCATTATGGATTGTGACTATGCAGATAATGAAAGACGAGAATTCATTCTCATGGTTAATTTAATTGTGATAATGTCCATGGACTTTGACTAAGAATAAATATATTGGGGAGATTTCTGTATCTTGATCTGTGGCAGAATAATGGCCAAGTCTTGGCAATTTCAGAGCAGATTCTCTCAAAAAACTGTAGAAAACATCGCAGAAAGGGACCAACTTGAAATATATAACTCGTAGCCATTCCTGGGCAAACCTCTACTTTTTTTTTTAAATATTTCCACTAAAAATCACTTGACGCCTTTGTTGTTGATGCAGTGTTGTCAGATTGGGCTACTTTTAAAAGTTCCGCTACTTTTTTGGGCTACTCATTATTTTTTAAACGCTACAAATCTTAAAAATGAGCTACTTTCTTACAGAAATACTTCTTGAAAACATTTTTTTCTTTTAAAATGATTCTGAAAAATCTGCGGTTCCTTTATCTTTTTTAAAAAAAAGAATTTTTTTTTCTTCCTGAAATTGCATCAGCTTTAGTTTTGGATTCTTGGCTTGTTTTGATGCGCAGTTTAAATCTCTCCATATCTGTTCTTCAAATCATAGACTCGTGAAATCGCAAAGATATAGGGTAAACTAACCAGTGAAGGAACACTTAAGCTTCGCTTGCCTTTTAAAAAATCATATTAATTTCAAAATTCGTAATTTTAGTTAAATGACAGTGTCAACATATTTACTACTAATTGCAAATTATGTAAAAAAAACTGTAGAAAACTTACATAATATAGTTTTGGAGGTTCATATAACAAGTAGTAAGAAGACCAAGTGAAGGAACAGCTCTAACCAGAGAATGAACAACCAGAAAAGGAACACTTCATTTTGGTTATTAATTATTTCTTTTTATGAATTTATAAGCTATACAAAGATTTAAAAACAAACCTTTTCTTGAAATTATAACATATAAATACTTGGAAAATGCTTTTTTTTTCGTAATCATGAATTGAAAATTAAAGTGTCAACATATTAATACATACTGTTCATTCAACAGGGAAATCTATGCTCAGTAAAGGAACATGCCTGTTCCCTCACTGGTTAGAAGTTGTTTTTCGTATTATTAACATACTTTTGATGCGGAACATCACTAAAGATACAAGAAAATTAAAGTTTGTCTTTTATTTTCATTAACTTAGAAAAAAAGAACAGTAAAAGAACACTTGTTCTTTCACTGGTTTTTCATCGTTTGGTGATCCAGTGAATAAACACCCCCTTATCTTATACCTTTCTTTATTATGCTATGATGCTTAAAAAAATAAAACGTAACTTCACTAACTATATTTTGAATTCTCTTTTTCACAGTGAGTAAAATAAAATTATTACATGCAATTAATTCCACTTCAAACATATAAATACAAACACTCACCTTATAATTTTTTCGAAGAAACAAGGTGTTGCAGAGATAACAACAAATTCAAAAATTCTTCCAAAGAAATCTATTTGACCAGGTAATCCAAAACATTGCTAGATGACTTCCTATTGTTTGGCAGTAAGCTATTGTTACCAATCAATCTAAAGAAAAACCTTCAAATTCTTATTTTTAATCAATATATATGAAATGTTCCTTCACTGATTGGTTTATCCTATATGAAAAAATGCACGGCGAGTATGATGGGGAAACCCTTATTAATCGTTTACCTTCTGGAAAAATCACATGACCTTTAATCTAAGTTAAAACAAAATATTAAATTTGACGAAATTTTCAAAGCAATGCATTGAGATTTAACCTATTTTTTTTAAATTTATTATGTATATATATATAACGTAGCTTTTTTGGGCTACAAAATGTTTGAATCCGCTACTTTTGGAGCTCCCATTTGCTACTTTTCAATCTTAAGTTCTGCCAACACTGAAGAGTAGTATTAGGAAAAATGATGGCGATTGAAAATGCATGACGTACATACAAAACGTTCCATGTAAAATCATTAATGTTCGACCTTTGCTGGTCAATACTTTGCTGGTTATTGCTTGTTATAAATTAAATATTAAGTTTATCGTTAGTTACAGTCCACTGTTTTTATTTTGGAAGATATATCACACACTGACTCGATTCCGAAGTTATCGAATGCGCACATCAATAAAATTCTGAAAATTTCATTACTATAGTTAAAGGAAAAGCAAAAAAACAGAGAGTTGTTACGACTCTCTTACGTAAGCTGGAGTATATAATTTATTTTTGTCTATAAGGCCAAAATAACTAAACATGCTTAAGTTAACAGTTCATAGTTGTTAACATGGATAGGGGAAAAAAACACTAGATATTACGAAACAATATAAATTTCATGACAATTGTTGCAAAATGTACTGAATATTTTACACATAGGGGATATTAGGGATTCAAAATAGAAAAATAGCAATATTTTTTAATTATGATTAGCATTAAATGAACTTAAAATGTTATGAATTATGTTTACTCGTAATTTTGAATAGTAATAATTCATCAAAGTTAACTGATTTTTACAAATGTGGCTCGCTTCATTATGCATATGTATCTAAATATTCAAGCAAACAATAATCTTATTGCAAAAATTTTATTTCTATAGGCATTGTTTATGGAAACTTACTCCATTTTAGGGAATTTTCTCTGATGTGGAAAAACTGGCAAAATCCAGTAGAGTTGACGGTTGAGCGGCTTCATTTTTTATGTCCCTCGGAAAAAAAACACACTTCAATCTTCTAAAAGTATATAGTTCTTCAGAATCTTTGGAACAACAAGTCTTTCAGCGCCACGAGGGAGCTGAAGACACGCCGCCAGTTGTCGCCTGATGGAACATCTTGAAAGATGAGAGAGGGATCTCGGCCCCCTCGCTGGAGTTGTGTTTTCTAGTACCGATTCTGCATACCTGCTCCAAGCTAGTTGAAGTACGGTGTGCTGTCTTGTGCTTATTGGAGTGAAGCTTTTGTTGAAATCTTCGTGGTTGAGGAAGGGGTCTGTTATATTCATCCACAATAACTTCAATGCACAGCGTGCAGTGGGTATAGAAGTAGTTGAGCTAAGGGCAGTCAGTGTCAAATGCAGAATTTGCAGAGAACGAAAAGTTATAGAGCCATATTCTTTGACCATCGTTATTCCGACATTGTAACTAGGGAAGACAGTAGAAAATAACATTGTAGTGTCATTAAACAGTTGTGGATATAAAATCCATTTAAAATAGTAATAACATTTAAGTGAGCATGTAACAAATCAACTGGGTACTGAATTAGAGTTTTTATTTTATAACCGTCGTCGAACACCCGACCCAATCCTTTTGTGATTACGACTACTAATGTCTAACTCCGTACCTTTGTAATTTTGAGCCTAATCTAGAAGACAAGGGAACTCATGGATCAAGTATTGGGAGAAATTTACCCTAGTAAAGAACTTTTTGATGGAACTAACCGGCATTTGCGATATATGGAGTGGAAAACCACAAACGGTTAGCCTGATGGCAAGGGGACTCTGACCCATGATCCGTCTACCACTGAGGATTCTTTTACGTCAGCATTGTGGTCAGTGCAAGCTGGATGCGGAATTCGTATTGACTGGGATTCGAATCTGGTTCGCTCCATTGGAAGGCGAACGCTCAATCCCCTGAGCCAGTGTTTTCCAAACTTATGACTTTTGTGTACCTTTTCTAAATTTTTCGTTTCCCAGTGTACCACTAATAAAGAAATGTATGTATTTTTTACTGTAAAAAAATTGCACAAAAGTTAAATATCACAACTCGCTGTTGACACCACTCATTATTAACTGTTAACTCTGCTCAATAAATGGTAATGTAAAAAATGGCCAATAGAAAAATACGCAATAGTAAATTTTCATGACTAACTTTGTTTGGAAATAAAAAAATTTTGAAATTATTGTTAGTTGCAAGATATTTCGCATAAGAACGCGTACCCCCACTAAACTGTTCCCGTACCCCTGGGGGTCCGCGTACCACACTTTCGGAAAAACTGACCTGAGTCATCGAGGCTCAATTCTTGAGTATCGTGAAAAGCATTATTTAGTTGGAGGTGTGTCAATGAAGTAAGTTTCATTTATTATGAATTAAGACCACTCAATAATAGCACAAAGCGATCAAAACCTGTTTGATAACTGAACATAAACTAGCATGTTCATTTTAACATTCTGGATAATCAATTGCTGAAATCAATACAAAATTGTTATCTCCCGAATCATTAATTAAGGAAGTTAGAATTCTTTGTTGGATGAAGGGATAAATTTGAAAGAGCTTTGTTTGTGTTGGAGCGATTATTTGAAAATTTTTTGTTAATCGTCTTAATTTTATTCAGCAATCAAACAGGTTTCGATGTTTTTAATTCCACATTCCTCAATAATGATTGTTCAGATTTTTGATAACTTTCTTAATATTTTCTTAGTCATATTAATTTTCGAGATAAGTATTCGAAAATTCGACTTCTTCCGTACCCATACTTCACGCCCGTTCATAGGGTGAATCCATTCATTTATAGAAAGTAATTTTGATCTGAAGCAGAGAACGATCAATCTCTAATTCAGTACCCTCAGAGGTGTATTTTGTTCCAGAAATATGGAGAACTTCATGACCCGACGGATTTAACGAGCACCATTTACTATTTACTACACGGGAAGTCTTCGGCCAGCTGTATTCGAACTCCCGTTCTCACAAACGTTATTCCAGCGCCCTGCCAACCAGGTTATCCATGCCATACGTAGAGAGAGATATACGCACAATAAATACAATCAGGGCCGGGATAGCCTGGTTGGTAGGGCACTGGGCCCATGTCAAAGAGTTCGTGGATTCGATCCCCACCGGCCGAAGACTCTCCGTGTAGTAAATGGTGACTGATGCATGTTAAATCTGTCGAGTCGCAAAGTCCTCCATGTTTCCAAAACAAATCAATACCTCTGGAGGGAGAACTGATACAGGAGCTCCCTTGTCTTCTGGATTGGGATCAAAATTACAAGGATACGGAGTTGAATATTGGTAGTCGTAAACCCAGAAATGGGTTGGCTGTTCAAAGACTTTCATAAAAAATAAATACCCTCAATTATTTTCATGATGGTTATCAACTTTTAAAAATATATCTATATACGTGTATTCGTTTTGATAAAATTAAAAAAAAAAATTTGTAATTCGTTTGCCAAGGAAGAAAAATTTTTGTCTCCCCCGTTTCGAACCTCGCCTGTACAAACTATTTGAATCAGCAACATCAATTTCATGATGCAGTGGCTCACCCAGGATAAGGTTTTCAGGGTTTAAACCTCCTCTAGGAATTGAAAGCAAGAATTGTTTTTCAAGGTTTTTGTAAATCATTAATTTTATTACCTGAAATGTATTTATACGAAAAAATGTTATCTTAAAACTAATTTTTATTTGAGTAAGGAAGTCTAGTATTCTTTCTTATTGAGTAAAGAATCTCTAAACAAAATATGCTGACAGAACAGTTCGACAGGGTTTCTCAGGAATCTTTCAACCAATTTGGTCCACATTTTTTTTTTATAAAATTTAATTCTTTAAAAGGATTTTAACATTTGTAAAAATCTTACAATTCAAATTTTTTGACCAATTATAAAAATAATAAAGTCAAATAATTATTATAAGTTATTTTTCCTGGGAATTATCTTTGGGTAAACGATTTTTATAATTGTGTGCAAAAAATTTCAGATTCGCTTAAAAAGTTCACGAGATATGGCGAAATACGCAAAAATAAAAATTAACATTAAGGGGTCCAAACATTCGACTGCTCTCATGACCAAACTATCGAGAGCATATTTTTCAGATGGCGGGCATACTTATACATCATTTCCACGAATTAATTAGCATATTTGATGTCATCCCCATTAACCATTGAGTTATAGTCCTTGTATGTGGAAAATCCGATCATTAGATCAAAAGTAATTCCATATTATGAAGTAATAACATTTTCCAAAGAAATGTTCTGAATTCACTTTAACTAAAGTAAAAAAATGAGAGTGTATTTTTTCTTTATTTTAACTCAATTCATATGTTTTGTGTTTTATCCATGTAAATTAATAAAAAATTTAATCGTTGCGTAATATATTTATTTAATTGATGAAAAATAACTACTATTAGTTTAAATGATTTATTTTTTTACATTTATTACAATATTACTAAAATATTTTAATAAACGAAGATTATCAATTTTGAACCCCCTCCCCAAGAATGATGATCTGTCAGAGAAACCTAAATATCCATGACGCATAAGGGATGGAGAATTTTCATTTATTTATTGTGGTGAGGGAATGAGAGGGAGGGAGGATGAAAGAAGGAGTTTGTCAATTTTGAAATTGAATTTAGGCCAAAGATTCAAACAATGTCCGGCAATAGTTAGTCTATCAAATTCTTGATAAATTGACATTTTAAGTCTAAGGGTAACGCTTATCAACTCGAAATCTCTTCTTATCTACTCGAATATTAACAGAGTCGACAGAAACTAAACATGTCCCACATTGGACTGATTGTTAAGACAAGGTTCCCAACAGAACACCGAAGTCAAGCATCACAGTGTGCTGGTGGGTGACCACTTGGATCAGTCTGTGTAGGCACCGAGGGTGCGAGGTATCGATCCTAGTTAAACTGTTCTACCGTAAAGTGCAAGACTTTGGGCGTAGGTCGTCGGACTACCAAAGCAAGGGAGCCCTCCCCTCTGCAGAGGATCAAAATTGCAATGCCATGTCTTCGAATCAGGGATGTTTCCCAGACCGTCGCCAATAGCCCATTGGGCAGCTCTAGTGCAACGTAAATAAAGTACCTACCTACTTAAATTTAAAACTTCGTCTGGTTTGTCCGATGTAGCTAATGTTGTACTGGATCCAACACATCAATAGATAATTTATCATCACATCAATAGACATGTTATTATAAAGTGTAGAGAAAAATTACTTACTGCTTTCGGGCTGACTTCAAATAGCTATGACTTTCTATAGAAATAAATTCCATTTTTCCACATCTGATTAAAGGGATAAAGTTTTTGATATCTTCGAAAACAGAACAATAAAAGTACTCCTCGGATCTTCTCAACTTTTCTTCCGTTCTTTTCCACACATCCAGCACATCGATCCCAGTTTCCTCTGTGTACTTAAACACATCCTCAATAATCGATTCGTAACTGAGCATCCTGTTGAAGGATTCATAGCAAGGTGTGGTGTAAAAAACTTTCAAAATTTCAGACAAAACGCTGTGGTGAACGCGATATTTACAGGCAAGTTTTAAAAACCCCAGAACCATAGCATTCACATCGAAATGCAAGTAGGTATAGGAGTTAATTATTATTTCGAACGCTGCCAAAACGAACATTAATGCTTTTGTTAAAAACTCAGCACATCGGTTTTTTTCATGAAAAGACGTAAGCTTGAGACCACACCTGAATAAAACAAGAACAGGGGGTGCTTCAGAAAATAGTTTAAGCAGAGTCCTTATTTCTGGTACGTCAACATCATCACGTAATGATTCCAAGTCGTATTCTTTATGGATCCATTGAACACTTCTGGCATTTTGGTATCTTCTGAAAGTTTCCACTTCATCGAAAAAGCAAATAAATTCCTCCGAGAGTCCGCAAGAACACCGGAGATCTTCATGACCTTTTTGCAGTCGAATAGCTTCAAGTAAAAGCAACACATCGCTTTTTGAAATCGTCATCCTATCGCGACACTTTCCAAACGGATAAGTCTTTCAACAGGTCCGCGAGCAACTACGATAACTCCACTGCTTTGCGCATTGTCCGAAATCCCCACACATGTTTTGAATAAGAAATATTGTCCAATGGAATTTGTGGGGATCCACTGCCCGGGGAACAGAAACTGGTTCTTTTTGCTGACCCCTTGAGAAGGGTAAGCTCCCCTAGGAAAGGGTAGAATTGGAGAGGTAAAACAACATTCCTCTTCAAAAATCTGGTTATTGACTCACATTTAGTGAGAAAAATATTCAATGGTGAAAGGGGGGGAAAAGGCACCTCGTTAGAAATCATACGAATCTAATAGCCGATTCATTTAGGATTTTTAAGCTCGCTTTAAATGTAAGCAAATACTTATTTGAATGAAATAAGATATTTAAGGGAACAGGATTTAACCTTTACGTAACGGTATGTCACTTCACACTATAAAAAAATCGATTAGGATTCTAATGCAACTCTAAGTTTGTTCTAAATTTCAATAATTATACTTATTGTAGAGTGATATACTAACAAACAAATACTTTCTCAACTAGTAATTTCTTTTTTTTAAAAAAAATGCTTAAAATTGAAATACTTTTTGATTAATTCCCTCAGTGACAATGTTAATTGATTAATTTTGTATAATAATACTATTATGCATCATAGTATTCTATCTACGTAATAAAAATATTTGAAGTATTGAAATTTCCTTTCAGTCAACATTAAATATACTTTGTATCGTAAAAATAATTTTAAAAAAATATCTAATTATGTTCCAAGAATTATTTAATTTCATTAAATTAGCATTCCACAATCCGAATGGAATTTGATAATTTATATCAAAGTTAATGAGGTGGTTATTAATCCGGTACATTTTTTTCAGTGCTTTTTCTTATGGGGCTTTTTTTTTTTTAACGAAGCTTTTATTATTATTATTCAAGTACATGACATAAAAAATTAGACAAAAGAACAAGGCATAACCCTGAATAATTTTTGTTCAAAAGATGGAAATTTTATGCTGTAAGTGCTAGTCTTAATAGTTTGATGAGTAAATCTCAAACTAGGTGAATCGAGCGACGTAAGTTACGAAATCAGACTAAAATTAAGGGAGCGCCTGGATAGAAAACTCGGACTAAACAAACTTTTTTTGAAACAGATTTGAGGAAACGCTATGAAATTAGTCTAATATAATTTCAGAAATAAATTTTTTTTAAACATTTCTCTTTTTAAATTTTCATTTCTCAAGTACTATTCAACAAATTTTGGTCGAACATTTCTTGAGAAATTAAAACGACTAAGAAAAATTAAAGTAATTTCAGAAATGAAAACTACTAAGAGAAATTAAAACGATTTCAGAAATGAAAACGATTGAGAATGATTAACGAATTTATAACTTCGTGCAAATAATTTTCGATGTTCGTGCAAATAGTTTGAAAAACATTCACGTGTTCACAGGCACCCACAAAAAGGTTAAAGAGGACGTATTTGCATCCCCTTGAAAATCCAATATATAAAAAACTATATTTTGCTGTAATTGTCTATTTTTTTTCTTTTTTAATTTTCAGTTATAAATATAGCTTGTTACGCATGATAATGAATCTGCTCTGATGTATAAAATGTGAACAAAAATTGCATTTTATAATTTAATGCTATGATAACCTAATATTTTTTTGTTAAATAGAAAATATGACAAACAGTATTTAATACGTAAAAAGGGTTCAAATATTACATAAGCACCTAAAAGGGGAAATGTGATTTTTGTAGAGAATTGGAGATGAGTGATATTGAGTAATGCGTATGTAAAGTAAGCTTCAATCTTTTTAATTGCAAAATAAATGTAAAAAAAAATTACAATAAAAAAATTTACGATAAAAGTTAAATTTGTGGGGGAAAAAGTTAGCTAAAACGTCCAAGAAGTTAAAAAAAAATTATTAAATAAAAATAATTAACTTAGGGCTAATATCTAAATTAAAATTGAACAGTTTTAATCTAAACTCGCTCTCAATAATCAATTAATACCTGTAATTATATTTTAAAAACACATCTTTCACATAGCCTAGCCCAGCGTGATACTAGGCCACATGTGTTGGCAACTGCTGCATAAGATAAGTAATAAACATAATTTAAAGTTTTCCGTTTTTTAGTGTATTATAACAGAATAAAAAAAGACGAAATAATACCATTCCATAATATCTTTGGTTATGAAAGATAAATAAATTTATTTATTTAGCAACATATAAAAATAGAATTATGACGATGAGCAATATGAAAATGTAAACAATTAAAGAAGAAACAATCGCCAGAACAGGAATAAAAATTATTTTTATTCCCTGAGCAGGCCACACACTGAGGAAACGAGAGGGAATCAAGTGACATAGGAGAGGCGTTTTCATTAGGATGCGCAGAAATGATGTGCGCCCGGTAATGGAAACCTCTTGCTTTTCGTTCCCCTTTCTTTGTGTGTGGCCCACCCAGGACTGTAAAATCGTTAATTTTATACTATGTATTTTATAGCCACATGAAACAAGAGCATTTCCATCGTGCACAAAAAATGATTTTTATATTTCAATGATGGGAGTAAATGCCTGAGACATAATTTATTTTAAGTGGAAGATATGAAGAGAATGTGAATCACAGTTTGACAACTCCAGTTGCAATTTCTGAATATAATTCTTTGGTCAGTGGAACATAAGTCTTCTGTTTGTGATTGACGAAAAATAGAGGATCTGATATATCTTCTGGATTGAATCCTTGTTTTTGGAGAGTCACTTTCCTCAGTTTGTAAGTGCCTGAAATCAAAAGAAGACAAAATGCTGTAAGTTTTAAAGTTAATGCAAACGATATCAGGGCATACTCTTAGATGGAAAATATCTTATAAAATCAAAGTTTCGAGGGGTAGACAAATTTTGGTATAGTTTGTCTATTGTAAGAACTCCCACCCCCCGCCACAATGTCTGAGGCCGTCTGCTGCTATGGAACCAAGAATAACGTATCTCTCTTCACTCTAGGACTAACACAATAGATCGAAGAAAACGATTCCATTTCTCTCGCTGACCCGAGCCAAAACCTGTCCTAAATAGTGACCCCACACCCCTACTTGAAGCAGTTATACCTCATTAAAACAGTCACTGCCACGAGTTCAGGCGAATGGCTAGGGGAGTTCTTATTTTAGACAAACTCTATATACAATGGATGGTTGACTGTGTGAAGGGTTAAAATTGGCTGAAAGACTTCCAGGTCATGACTTCCGATTGATCTTTAAGCCTAAACTTGAAAAAGCGCGCCTTCCATTATTATTATACAGTAGGGAACCGATTATCCGGAACGATCGGGACCATTGCTATTCCGGATACCTGATTTTTCCGGTTTTCTGAATCGCTACAAAAAGCCGTTTGTTTATTGTTGAACCCAACAAAAAAAATGTTTTTTTGGAAATAATCTTAAAAAGAAGAATAAACGATGAAGGAATACACTAATAATTATTTCCAAAATGATGGTAAGGTAAACATCTTTCGAAAAAGAAAAAAAAAATCCTAAAATCTTATGAGGAAAAAAAATTTTTTTTTTAAAAATGGCTCAAAAATTTATCGAATTTCGTTCCGGTTTTTTGGTTTTCTTATTTCCGGATAACGGGTTCTGTACTGTACTAATAGTGTTTACGATATTCTTTCCATTCAAATTGCAATGAAGCAAACAACAAATGAAATCGAAAGACTTCGCAAGCAACCCAAAAAATATCAAACGGTACACAATAGAGTCATATTTTACACAAATAGAGTCAAATGAGGGATAACATGGCAAGCCTTACACTTTACGTTGTGATATTAATTTTCTTACATTTGTTTTAGGCCCGCAACCAGTTAGAACTTGTAAATTACAGAAAGCTCTTTTGAATGGTAAAATGACGTATAAATTTAAGCACAAATCACAATAATAAAACTTCCTAGAATATTCAGCCTATTTACACATTGCCTCGTAAGTATAACATAAGCGGAGGAATACACCGTAAGTTTCTTCCGGTTTTAGAAAGCTTGCTATTGTTTACATTTAGTCAACTATAGTTTGTCTACGGTAAGAACTCCCAACAGTCCTAAACAGTTACTCCACATTTGACTTCCATAATTTATTTCTGAAGAGTCAAAGGATTCTGATTCGTCTTTGTTAAAATTCACTTTGAGTCAGAATTTTTTTTTCTTGTAATATTTTACACTCACGAGAATCTGACTCGTAAGATTTAGTTCTCAAGAGATAGTGGTAGGTAGGCACAGTCATCCCCGCTTAAAAGAATACCATCGGTTACAGCCAAATCTATGCAATTAAGCTGGTTATTCGATTAAAAGGGAATTCAATCGTAAATTCGAAGGGAATTCAATCGAAATTTTACTTTAAATGAGATTTAATGCATAATATGGCGTTTTGATTAAATAAACTCAGTTTTATGATCAATAAACAATTGTAATTAAAACTGTCTGTGTTAGAATCGTAAAATATACACGTCATTTAAAGTTACATAAAAATAAATCAGTGCAATAATAATAATAAAATATAATATAGGTATTAAAATATTATTTAATCCCTTCCAAAAAATTTATTATTGAAAACTGTTTTTATACCGGTTTAATTTGTCAATTTATCATAATTACATTCTTCCTTTTAATTTCAAATTTTCTAAATTCCAAATTTTTTTTCTAATCCTCGAAATTTGAGAAATTTTAGTTTGGGATATTTTGAAATTTATTGTTTCCACGATTCATTGTTTTTTTTTCCTTTCTGATTAATTCAGATCATTCCTTTTCTCTCTCAACCAATTCAGAGTAATTCACTGGATTAAACAAAGATTATTCCACTTTAAGAGGAAGAAGACACACTGTACACTAACGTATTAGGTCTTTGAAACTTTTTTTCTTATCAAAGCTAATAGTGAAACAGGAGGGGACCATAAAACAAATAACTTTGTACCTTTTTTACATTCTACATGATGAGTGAGTGAAATAAATATTCCTTAACGCTATGTATAACTGGCAAGAAGAATTTATTAGTTTTTCAACTTTACCCCTAACACCTGCTTACACCTGTTACCCCTAACACCTGTGAACAGGAAGTCCCTATTGAAGTGATCACCTTTTGTATCCTTATCTTAATTGAAAAACGGAAATACCATTTTAGCTGGTGAAACATTTCTCAAAAATAAACTACAAAATTTTTTTTTTCATTTCAGTACCTCTTCTTTATGAAATTAGGCGGGGACAAAAAACAATAAATATCCGTTTAAACGGGGAAGTTTAACATAATATAAAATCATTTGGTTCCACAAAATTTTATTTGTATAAGCGGGTTATTCGATATGCCCTTAAGTGGGGACGACTGTAGTTACTTATTTACGTTGCACTGGAGCTGCACAACGGGCTATTGGCGACGTCTGGGAAACATCCTTTGAGGGTGATCCTCCTAAGACAAGCCATCGCAATATTGATTCTCTGCAGAGAGGAGTGCTTCCCTGCTTTGTGCAACAACCTGTGCGCGAAGTCGAGCACTTTATAGTAGAACAGTTTAACGGGGACGGATACTGCTCACCCTCTGTCCCTACGCAGGCTGATCAAAGGGGTCACCCACCTACTTACTGACTGCAGCCAACGATGCTTTTTTTCTAGCGGGAATATGTTCTCTTTAAAATCGTATTGTGCTATCGTGTATTGAAAAATATAATAAAAATGTTTTTATTAGAAATACGTAATTATTGTTATTGAGTTTAATTGGTTGAATTTAATAAATTTACATTATACATCATTCTGCTTAAAAAAAAATTTCCATCCATTTATTTATAAAAATTTGATGTTTTTAAGCTAATATTTTAAATCTTTTGTTGTTCCAACTGGTTAGTTATTTTTTGAAAAAATAAAAAAAAACTCAACTAAAATCTAATACAAACCAGTAGTGTCGATGTCAGTAACTCGAATGAAGAAAGGGATTGCGTAGCTGGGCAGTTTTTTGATGATATTTTCATATAAATTACTAAAATTAAGATCATTTACATCCATTTGTATAGCAGCCATTCCAGCTCGACCTTCTACATCTGAAATGAATTTTTAAAAAAATAAGGATTATTGATAATTACATGTTACTTACACAGAGACAGAACTGAATTCGCCTTTACAAAGCGTATATGTATTACAGTATCGAACTGTTTATACGCCTTTTAGGAGGAAACAAAGAACAACTGAAAGTTGTGCAACTTAATGGTAATTTATCGTAAAGAAAAGCAGTGCAGTAAAACTGCAATAGCAGTGTTCAATTTGTACAGAAGAATTAATGGACGACACTGACCACAGGGCGACTGAATATATTAAACAGGTGGTTTGAAAAATGTCTGCCAGTTGCCAATCACCATCCGATTTCTATTTTTTTTCGTTGAAACTGCACACATTTTATTTGTGTTATAAACATAGATTTATTCTGATTATTTTATTAATTACTTTATTTGTTCTTTAAAATATTTCTTCATCTTAAAATGAACTTTCTATTTAGAGAAATAATTCACAGAGACGCTTTACATTTATTAATATATTAACAGTTCTTAAAATTATACCTCTGAAGGTACTGGATCGGAGATTTATCGTTCTCTGGTCAAAATTACGATCTGTGGATGAATAAATGGATGATTGAAGGGGTCCACCCTACAAAAGGGTGTGACGTAAGGGTATGACAAAAGTCAAATTCTTGGACTTAGATGGCGCCACCGGAAAACAAGAACGATCGCATCTTCAGAGTCTTAATCAAAGAATATAGAATATCCTCTATATTCTTTGTTTTAATGACCTACAACGACAACAACGATTTCATATTTTGTTCCTTTTTTGTTTTCTTTAATAAGGACATACATTTTTAGTAATCGCCATGCATTATTTATAACAATCACATTAACCAAGATAATAATTCGGGAAAGATGTGAGGACCATTTACGAATACAATCGCCTGGGTATTCTTACACTAATGTTTTTTTAAGGCATACAGATATAGCCCGGTAACTGCAACCCTCATATTTATTAAAGTGACTAGATATTGCCTGATTTTTTCCTACACAGATGTTTTTAAGGCAAAGAGGTATTGGACGGCATTGCCCAGACTTTTTTTTTTAAAGTAAAAAGCCATATTTTACGTCAGGCGTTGTAAAAAATGCGTCAATATGCACATTTAAACAGATGTGAAAACATTTAAATAATATGTGTCTAAAAAATTGAAACAGAGAATGTAAACGCACTTGGAACTTCCACACCGTAAACAACAACTGCTGCATGACTGAGAACTTTGCTGACAATGTTTTCTACTTCACCCGTTGAAACATTCTCTCCTTTCCATCTGAATGTGTCACCTGTTCGATCCATGAATGAGAAATAACCGTCTTCGTCCATCACTAGAATATCACCTGGAAAAAAACCATTAGTCATTAAATCACACTCTGAAGTTTCGCAATTTTGAATCCAGAAGACAAGGGAACGCCTGGATAGAATATATTGGGAGGAGTTTGTCTTCGTGGAGTACTTTTTGATGGAACTAACCCGCATTTGCGTTACATGGCGAGGAAAATCACAAAAACTTCATTGACTTCCCTGAAAACTGCGAGGAGACTAACCCATGATCTGTCTACCACTGTAGATATTTTACGTCAGCGCTGAGGTCGGTACAAGCCGGATGAAGAATTCGTATCGACCACCTTTAATGGGATTCGAACCAAGTTCTCCTGATGGGAAGGCGAATGCTTTATCCCCTGTGCTACCACAGCTCAATCACACTCGTATAATATTAAAGTTTTGGGCTGGGATAGCCTGGTTTGTAGGGCACTGGGCCCATGTCCAAGAGGTAGTGAGTTCGATCCCTGCCGGCCCGTGTAGTAAATGGTGACTGATGCATGTTAAATCTGTCGAAGTCACAAATTCCTCCATGTTCCCATAACAAATCATACCTCTGGTGGGTACTGATCCAGGAGTTTCCTTGTCTTCTGGATTGGTTCAAAATGACAAGGCTACGGAGTTGAACATCAGTAGGCGTAAACCCAAAATTGAATCGGCTGTCCAACGACGGTTATAAAATAAAATAAAATATGGAAGTCTTGCCTAATCGTCTTTTAAGTTAAGGGAAAGTTGCTATCGCGGAAGCCACTCAATTTTCAGAGTTAGTTTCAGCCTCAAAATTCGGCAATTTCATAAATTTTGTACATGCTGTATAGTTTGTCTAAAATAACAACTCCCCTAGCCATCCGTCTGAACTCGTGGCGGTGACTATGGTAGCGAGGTATAACTAATTCAAGTAGAGGTGTTAGGTCAATGTTTAGGACAGGTTTTAGCCCGGATCGTCGAGAGAAAGACAATCTTTTTCTTCAGTCTACTGTGTTAGTCCTAGAGTGAAGAGAAGCTACCCTTCCTGAATTGCGCTATTCTTGTTTCCATAGCAGTAGACGGCATCAGATTGTGTGGCGCGGGGGGAGGGAGATCTTACCGTAGACAAACTATACAGTACACGAGAAAGAAAAAAATTTAACACTTTGAATAACTTTTGATCCATTGATCGGATTTTCACGTATTACGAGTCAATCTCAATGGTTCGAGGGCTTAAATATGCCAATTAATTAGTGCAAACGATATTTTAAGATACGGAACACGACACAATGACGTATTTTCTCTAAATAAATATACTTTTTCTTTTCGACGGATTCGGTTTTTTGAGTAGGGGAGAGTGGGGTCAATTGTAACATTTTTTACTTAGCTATTTTTAACTAACAAAAAATCCAATATATTATTAGTATTAATTGACAGACGAGTAAAGTAGACTATCCTCTACTAGAAAAAAAATANCAGATAAATTACCATTTTAAAAAATGCGTAATATATCTAGTGGAAATTATTCAGTAATACTAAACGAACAAGTGATTGATGACGTAGAGTCATTGAAAATATCAAAGACCCCTAGCAGCAAAATAATTCATGCCCTCATTGAACTTTAAATACACCTTGTGCGCCACCTAGGAACCAAATCTAGAACCCGACACTCGAAATGTTTGCTCTGTTACAATCGTACCCTGTTACAATTGACCCCACTCTCCCCTACAATTGAATATGAGAAATAGCTGCAATCTGAAAAACAGGGTCTCTATAGTTTGGTCTGGTGAGCGGTCCAAAGTTTGGACCTCTTAATATTAATTTTACTTTCTGTCTATTTCGGTATATCTTGTGAAGTTTTGAGCGAATTAAAAAATTTTATTCACAATTACAAAATTCGTTAATCCAAAGATTCCATGCAAAAAAATTTTTTTTTAATAATTGTTTATTATTTCTCGAAAACATTTTAAGTTGTAATGTATGCAACTTTTTATCTTTCTTTTAAAAACATACAACGTCATATAACGAAATACTATATTTGAACGAATACGGACGAATAGTATATTGTGATATAAGTCCCCGTCGCCATTTAATATTAATTAATGGCGACGTTGCGGGTTCGTTCCAAAAGACGAACCCGCAAATAATACCGCTTCACAAGCATGGTTGTCACATCGACCTTTTTTTTTTTAAAAAAAAAAAAACTTTTATGTGATTAAATATTTTAGTGTCGGTCAGTTAGAAATACGTACCAGAAAGGAACGCAGTGTCTCCATGTCTGAAACAATTTCTTGCTATCTTTTTTTTGGTATCATTTGGATTGGCATAACCATCGAATGAATTCAATGGAGTGCCACGTCTGATTCTGGCCACCAATTCTCCAGGTTCTCCTACAAAAAGAAAATAAGTTAGAAAGGAAAAGTAGAAAAAGTCACATTTTTGTTTAAAAAAAAATATCGACCGTCAATCATAGAATACTTTTTAGTACTTGCATTCTTCAGAGATTGCTGTTGATGCAATAATTTTTTATTTTATTTTATAACCATTATTGAACAGCCGACTTAATTTTAGGTTTCCGACTACCTAAGTTCAATTCCGTAGCCTTGTCATTTTGAACCCAATCCAGAAGACAAGGGAACTCTCTTAGATCAAGTAATGGGAGAAATTTGCCTCCGTGGAAGACTTTTTGAGGGAACTAACCCACATGTGCGCTACATGGAGAGGAAAACCACGAAAACCTCCCACGGTTAGCCTGACGGAATGGGAGCAGAGGATATCTTGCGTCAGCACTGTGGACGGTGCGAGCAGGGTGCGGAATTCGTATCAACCCACCATTGATGGGACTCCAACCCGGTTCACTTCATTGGAAGGCGAACGCTCTATCCCCTGAGCCACCACGACTTTGATACAATAATTCATACGATTGATAAAATCATAACAAAAGAGGAACAATTTTAAAATTCGCTAATATTGCTGACGATATTAAGACGAAGTAGATATGAAAGTTGGTATCATTAGTCAATAGAGGAGTTACTATATAATGGGTCAAATGCTATGATAATTTTTTTGATCAAGGTTGAGATGCTGTTATAAATAAGAATGGTGAAGTTTTCAAACAAAATTGTTTCTTTCTGTCATTGAAGAATGACGAAAAAATTTTGAATCTTTGTGGATCAGGCGATAATAATAATTGAGAAGCTTTTCTTAGTTGCTCTACAGTTGTTCAAATAATAAGAATATAAGAGTTTTGAAAGGATTGATACGGTTTGTCACTTAACGATAATACGGTTAAGAACAATTGTCAGGCAGTTTATAACGATTTCGATGCTTTGGGTACAGTTGGTTCTGTTGGCAAGATAATATAAATATAATATTTTACAAACAACAATGTATGATTTGTTTATTTAATCAGCAAATAACCAGCGAAGATTTTTTCTTTTTTTGAAATGTTTTATATTAAGGCCGTGATAGCCTGGTTGGTAGGAGACTGGGCCCATGTGCAACAGTTTGTTGGTTCGACCCCCCCCCCCCCNCCCCCCCGCGCTAAGATTCTCCGTGTAGTAAATGGTGACTGATACACGTTAAATCTGTCGGAGTCGCAAAGTCCTCCATGTTCCCATAACAAATCAATACTTCTGGGGGTACTGATCCAGGAGTTTCCTTGTCTTCTGGGTTGTGTTCAAAATGAGAAGGCTACGGAGTTGAACATTGGTAGTTGTAAGCATCTTCTATAATAAGACATTCACACTGTTGTAGCCTAAATCGTTTATTCTGAAGAACCTAGCTTCAGATAGAATCGTACCAACTTGTTTGGAAAGTAAAGGAAGCTAGTACGCAATGCTAACCACATTGCTTTAGTTTTGCCGTTGGTCTTGAAATTGTAGGCCATTACTATTATAATATCACTAGAATATTGCTATAATATATGCATATCTTCATTACCCCCTCGCAGACTGCTGCGGTACTATAATTATCCTAATTAAACTTCAATCCTCAATAAATGCTAGAAAGACTTCAATTGTTTAATATTACGACGTTTATACAGTACAGAACCCGTTATCCGGAAATCAGAAAACCGGAAAACCAAAAAACCGGAACGAAATTCGATAAATTTTCCCGCCATATTTTAAAAAAAAAATTTTTTTTTCCTCATAAGATTTTAGGATTTTTCTTTCTTTTTTGAAAGATGTTTACCTTACCATCATTTTGGAAATAATCATTATTGTATTACTCCATCGTTTTTTCTTCTTTTTAAGATCATTTCCAAAAAAAATTTTTTTTTTAGTTGGGTTTAACATTAAAAAAACCGCTTTTTGTAGCGATTCAGAAAACCGGAAAAATCAGTTATCCGGAATAGCGATGGTCCCGATCGTTCCGGATAATCGGTTTCCTACTGTAACTTACAATATAATATTTTAAAACTATATACTAAACACATTTATAAGGGAATTAAAAATGAAAAAAAAAACAAAACATACACATGGTCTTACCTGGTTTACATCGTATACAAAGTCCGTTTTCATCTCTGAGAATGTCTCCAGTTTCCGGATTCACTTTCATCAAATAGATTGGATAAACCCTATCCGCAACTCTAGATACGAATCCAACTTTTCCAACTTTACCAAATATGTTAACTGAAAAAGATAACAATGTTTCATCGATAATTTACGAACGCAATGTGAAATATGACTATTTTAAAAGATATTTAACAGTTTTTTTTTTCCTACCCGTTTTATCTAAACGCTTAATAACAACGAGAAAAACATATGTAGAATTCCGTCACGTATGATCTTTGTTGGTTTTCTTTTCAACGTAGAATGAGTACACCGTGTGCCGAATTGCTCATAGCTAACACCTGTGTTCCGTATGAAAGTTTCAAACACAAGAGGATCGTAGTTTGCAGTCTCTGTGATTGTTAGTAAACATTGAATGGTCATTCCGTAGATCTATAATTTTCACTTCTTGCTGAGCAAATTTGGCTTCCCGTTATACTTCGTATAACAGTTACAGAAGAGTGCAAACTTCAAACTTAACAAAAATAATATAAATATATATATATATTCAAACAAAATTGTTTCTTTCTG